CGAAGGGAACGGTATACCATAAGGAGTACCGAAAGAGGAACCAAAAGGGGGCCGAAGGAAGACTGGAAGAAACATAAATAAGGACAATTACACTCATGTATCTAGCCTTTCCTTACTCGCGCTCAATTCAATCCATTCAACCTGAGTTACTAAGATACTTACTTTGGGGGTCAGTAAGACTTCTTACTACTAGTGGTATACTTCGGTATAGCTCTAGTAGGCGTTGCCTCTGACCTAGTCGTTATCGTTCTTGTTCACCTGAAGCACCCCTATCGTGTATCTTTGCGAGACCCCATTATATCGCGAGAAGTCGTTCGAGGAAGAGCCCTTCGCCAGGTAGGCCGTTGTCTCGAGGAAGAGGAGACCCGGGTCGGTTAGACCGTCGCGTGCTCGTGAACGACACAGAGTCAAGAAGACTCCTTGATCCTTCCCTAACCACCATCGTTAAGTATCGACGACTACGGTTGGACCCAACGCGTAACAAGCAGATCCTGTTATTGAGAATGCAAGAGCCACATGTAGATTTGAGCAAGCAAGTGTGCAAATTAAGCCCAGAAACCAAAATATGTATAGTCACATCAATATTGGCCACAAAAAGACAATGAAGTCCAGGCGTGGAGTATACTTGGCAAGCTGGCATTCTGAGGTGGAAGACGTCATGTGCACATTGATACCGATTATCGGCGCTCCGGAGGCAAGTGGCGCGCCAAGCCGAGTTAGTTTTATAAGAATACCCGCCAAAGCCCAGAAGCATATTACTGAGCATCCTCCACTTTATCATCTGTCCATCATCTTTCATCCGTCAATTTCAACGCCACCTGCCTCAAAATCCCTTCATTAACACAGAAGAACACTTGCTCCAGATCACTCGGTCATTCCAATATCAGCAGTCCGTACTCGAAGATGTTCCGACGAGTGCTTTCTACCACCCCTCATTCAGTTGTCAGAGCTACAACGAAAATGAGGCCTCCATTCTTCACGCCTGCTCAAGCATCTATTCGTGTACTTCCAGTTCCTGCTAAGAGGAGCTATCATGAAAAAGATAAGTATTGCCCGGATGTTTTTTTTTCAAGACTGTTTTATGCAGTTTTTATGTTCTCTCCCAAGTGGCTTGGGTTTGTTGAATCACAAGCTAACACAGTCTCTACTGCTTGATCATTACAACAATCCTCGAAATGTTGGATCTATGTCGAAAACGGATGCTGATGTTGGTACCGGCCTGGTCGGTGCCCCTGCATGTGGCGATGTGATGAAGCTTCAGATTCGTGTTGATCCAAAAACCAAAACCATTAGTGATGTGAAATTCAAAAACATTTGGATGCGGTAGTGCCATTGCCAGCTCAAGTTACCTAACAGAACTTGTACGCGGGATGACTTTGGAGGAGGCCTCTAAGATCCGGAATACGGAGATTGCAAAGGAGCTTTGCTTGCCTCCTGTTAAGCGTATGTCATTTACCTGTCCAGGAAAACATGTTTTAAGCAATCACTAACAGTTATTTAGTGCACTGCTCTATGCTTGCTGAAGATGCTATCAAATCAGCAATCTCCAATTACTACACGAAAAATCCTAAGGCAAAAACGACTGATCTTTCCGGAACAGCTTCAGCAATCCCTGATGTGGAACCTGGTCAGTCATCTGCAACCACAAGTGCCCAATCAGCGAGCAATTGATAGGTGTGCAAGGGAGTGATAAATTATACAGCTCTGATGTGTCATTGATTGGGTTATCATTTGCAACATTATTTTTCGAGTGTCTTGAGTCAGAGGTCAGATTCCGTTCCTGTGTTCATGGACCTCATCAATACCTCATAAATTTTGAAAGGAGTTGTTGAATTTACCCCATGTAGTAGTTTTATACCATTATAGTTCTCTTTTTTTTTCACTTGTCCACTGTTTTATGCAATCCTACAGTCGCTTTTATATTCAGCGGGAGTTTCATCATGAAAACTGTGAGAAGATGGTTTGTATTGTGTAAACGTACATTGCTTTTGTATTACTAGCGAGTGTTGCGACATATGAACTTGACAGCTTATCGTAGATCACTCATCATATCCTCATCAAAGTCAAGATCTCTTCCCCCCGCCTTACCTAGCCCGTCTTTGGACGTACTATCGTTCCGCTTTTGGCTTTTACGCAGATAATCGACGTATTCTTTGCCTAGCTCCAACCTCATATCACTGCTTTGCACATTATTTGCAAGGACTCTTAACTTCTGCTGCTCAACGAGCAGTCGTTGTCGAATTGACTTCTCCAAGACGGCATCAGAACTCGGAAGGAGTGACGAAAAGCGTAGCATCGTAGAATTTGATGCATATCTGGGATTCAATAAAGTAGCATTCAGCTTTCCAGATGCGACGAGTGAGAGAACAAAGAGCTCCGTTTCGAAGAGATCCCGGGCAACAAGGGAAGCACGCCGTGAAACATCAGCAATGGTGACCGCGGAGAAAGTGGCGCCTAACTTTAGAACTGAGTGCCATCGGAACGCGGCAAGTACTTGAAGCACAAGTCCCGTATTGTTATCCTGGTCGACAAACAGATGTTAACATCGATGCTCACAACAGCGAAAGGAAAGTGAAAATAAAGCTCTCAAAGGCTTGGAGAAGGTAGGAACTTGCCATATGCCAGATTGACTGTCCTATCTCGGCCTCTGCCTTTAACTTGTCGAAGTTTCCAGTTCTGAAAGCATCCGCAAGAGCATCGTAAGGGCGAGCAAGTGATCTGTACAGCTTCACTGCATGCGGCGGGGTAATGGTGGGGATAGGAATTGGCTGTCAACTAGATAAGTTTCTCGTCTATTCAAGCAAGACCAGAGAGTAAACCGTACAGCGCCTTTTGCCAGCAGACTCACTAAGACCCATTTCTTATATGCTTCCACCATGATAGCGCTGACCGAATTGATCGAAGGTGAAGAAATGACTATGCTGAGGAAGTGAAGTGCTCTATCCCATTGCTTCAGTCCCATGTATATCATGCTGCTGTACAAAAAGTACTGCAGATGATCCCTGTAGGTTAGTTTAGAAGAAAAGCCCGATGTATTGGTGATGAACGTTGCGCTAGACTCATGCTGAGCGCACATCACAGGCTGAGATCGTCGTAAATATGCCTGATCAGCGCTGGCCGGAAAGACACATATGTCTTTATCAATCACCGGTAATGCAAGCGCATATGCCCTTGCGCGAAGGCATAGGCGGCTTAGAAGCACATGGTTGGAGGTAAAACTTGAGCCTGACGGATCTAGACGAAGCATCGCATCCCTGATAGGTCGAATTGCTAGAAGTGGCTTCTACCTATGAGATTCATGCTATCAACTTCAGGCGTTTCGATCCTTACCTTAGCGACTGCCTCGGCTGCTCTTGCGACAGACTCCACAACTTTGCGCCACTCATAGCCAGCATATCTCACTTGTATCGGGTCGAATGTCTTCAGGAAAAGTAAAGCCTTTGACCAAAGATTGTTTCCAGGATAGAGATCTTTGGGAATGACTTGGTTTGTTCTAGACCTAAGGGCGAGAACGTGAAAGTGAAATACTAGAAGGAATGAAAGAGAATGAACAGAAGGATCGAGTTGCTACATATGTTTATTTTCGAAGTCAGAACGAGAGCACTTAAACGTGACGCCATGGACGAAATGGATGGGCCAGAAACTTACTTCCAGGATACCACCAGAGACTTCGTCGGTTTTATTGGGCAGACATTCTTTCAGATAAGCAACAAAATTGCGAGCCTGCTCATCGTATTCCTCATCAGATACGGCATGGGTAGTATCTGACCGTCGAGGAAAGGAAAGAAGACGCGGCAGAACATCTGCCATCTTCAGTTAAATGATAAATAGGTGTGATAGAGGTAGTCAATAGATAGCTGGGCAAAGAAGTCGTGGACTGTTGTAATCCACCAAACAAAAGCGGATGATAGAACTTCGGTCAATAGTCAAGTGCGGTCATTGACTCGAGAGGACAAAAGTGAATACACATTAAAGGCAGATAAGATGCGGTCGTTATGTACCGTACTAGGTAGGTAGATAGGCACGTTGTAATCTTCACCGCCTTCGACATCTGTGCTAGAATATAATACCTACCCAGATACCTATGTATTATGGTTATTATTGAGAAAAGCTCACTACCGGTACGTTCTACTGACCTGGATGTGGATTGACCGCCTTCGATCTACCCCACCTTGGTTCTCACAACCCCTCAATCGACATCTCTATGTTGGCAGTATACAAAATGGGTATCATTCTTGGCAAGACCTTCCAGCTCTAGCCGAAACAGCTTGGAGAACTGAAGGATTCATGCGTCATTAAGGTGCAAATCAGTTATCAAGCCATGACTAATAAATGGAGCAGATCTCATCTATTACATCCCTCATGGACCATGCTTGGTTTATTAGAGAACATCCCCCCTCTATTATAACAGAAATCTGTATGTTTTGTTGGTCAATAAGCGATTTTTGCCAATGTAATTGGTCAACCTGCTGTAGTCCACACTCAAAACCAAGTTTACTCAAGTTTACATTACATAAGCCTACCACACAGAAGCTGCCTACCTGGCTTCCTGCCTTAGGTATCAAATCTGCCTATTCTCAAAATAAAGCCTACCGGAAACCTATGGGGAGTATATATAGGTAGTCATACTATTCTATTTTTTTAACCAAAGGCTTTCATTTACAAGCTTGTGGAGGGTCCAAGTTCCGGTGCAACCATGTAGGTATAAGGCTATAAGAAAGTCCAAGCAATAATACATCGTGCTTTGTTTATAATAATAAACCTATAGCATAGAGGGCCTATTTAAAAAATAAAAGCCTATTTGCATTTTAGTAAGCCCAGGTATTCCTTTCCCTTCAAATCTAGACGAGCGGAGGTAGCCGTTTAATGCTTACGTTGTAGTAAGATGGAAGATGCCGGAAACTATACTTCGGATCAATAGAATAAAGAAAATACAAGATGAATGACAGGAGGCAGGCAAGTTTGAGCATTAGAAGCTGTCGTTTCCAGCAGCTTGTATGCCGTTTAGTTTAAAATAGACAAGCATTACAGGTCTTGTTTCGCTCAACTAGCATTCCCTGCTATATAGTTTTATCAATGTTTCAAGTGAGGCTTCCTACTTATATTCCTTGACGCGTTCCTGCCAATATGTTCCCAGAACTCCTTGGCAGCTACTTGAAAATACAGAAGATTTCTTGCAATATTTGTTGCTCCTCAGTTATGTATATTCCCACGCTGACAGATGGTTGAATTAGTATCCACACTTAGTCGTATCAGGAAACATGTGTTTGATCATACTTGTAAAAGCAATAAATAACTCCCTAATGGATCCTAGGTGACCATTTGCATGTTTATTTACTCCGTAAGCAATGTTGCAGTTAATTGAGTCAGTGAGTATAAATAACTCCATACGCTAGAATAACTTAGTGAAACAAGTTTGTGGATATTGACCATCGTTACTACACTGCCAATGGATAATCCAATTAATATAAACTGCAAAATCAAGTCGAGTTTCCGGACCGCGAGGGAAACAAAAGGGCTTCTAAGTCTAGATCAAAGTTGTGGAAACCAAGATAATAAATAAATTGTACATTTATACGTATAGTGCGGAGTACGGCTAGTTTCTACACAGCTCCACACTTTGGTTATGCTCGTGCTCCATCCGTAATTTTGGCATTTCTTTTACGCCTTTTTTTCATGATACTTTCAAACAACTCGACCAAAAGAAGGAAAAATCACTCCTAGATTGCCTTGCTCATTCTGTACACGAGGCATAAACGACTCAGCCGCTTCTAGAAGACTCTACCTTGGTATTCTGCTGCTCTAATCCTACCGTTCTGTATCAAAGCGAAAATTTTAGATTCACAATCAAATTGAGAATGTCGCTTACCGAGTCTTCAGCTTCAGAAATCGCAAGGAGTGCATCCTTAGCATCGCGTCGTCTGGCGACGCTTTCTAACGATGCACGCAATGAAGCATTGACTGCGATTCATGCTGCTCTCTTAAGAGAAAGAGACAGTATACTAGAGGCGAACGCAAGAGATGTGGCAGCAGCTTCTCGTGCCGCAGCGAATGGAGAACTCAGTCAAAGCGTCCTCAAGAGGCTTGACTTATCTCGAACCGGCAAATATGAGGATATGCTCAATGGCATATTGAGTGTCCGGGATCTTGACGATCCAGGTGTGTGAGAAATCCATCGCAAACAGCATATTTTTTGTCCGAAATAAGTTCTTTTCCGAATGGTTTTGCTGATTCTGGAGAAGTTGGGAAGGTGACCCTCAGGACATTATTGGACGACGGTCTTGTTCTAGAGAGAGTCAGTTGTCCACTGGGCGTTTTGTTAATAATCTTCGAGGCTCGTCCTGAAGTGATCGCCAACATTGCGGCGCTTTCTATTAAATCTGGAAATGCTGCTATTCTCAAGGGTTAGTTGATTCGCACATTACAACCTAGTCTGTATTGACCTGTCTGCAGGCGGGAAAGAATCCACAGAGTCTTTTGTTGCTATCTCGAAAGTCATATCGGAGGCTATTTCGAGCACCCAAATTCCCAGTTCTTCCATTCAGCTGGTCAAAACGCGTGATGTTGTTTCGTCCCTTCTCGCTCAGGATTCGCTAATTGATTTAGTCATCCCTCGCGGCTCCAATGATCTTGTTCGATATGTTAAAGATAACACTAAGATACCGGTCTTGGGGCACGCTGATGGACTTTGTTCGGCATACATACATTCAGATGCAGACTTGGAAACTACTGTGCGGGTGATAGTCGATTCGAAAACAGACTATCCGGCTGCTTGCAACTCTCTGGAGACTCTGCTTGTACACGAAGATGTCCTTCACACAATTTTGCCCGCTGTCGCCGAAGCCTTACATGCCAAGGGCGTATCTCTTCGCTGCGATGCACCGTCAAAAGCTGCCTTAGAGAAGCATTTGCCGACTTCACAGGCGGTCTTGTTACAGGATTCCACAGATAGCGACTACGATACAGAATTTTTGGACCTGATTCTGGCTGTTAAAACCGTGCCGTCGGACTCGCAATCGGGGTCCTCTCTCGAAACAGCCATCGCTCATATAAATGAGCACTCTTCTAAGCACACAGACATCATTTTGACTACGTCGAAGGAGGTGGCAGAGACTTTCATGAGCGGCGTGGATAGTGCTGGAGTTTACTGGAACGCGTCTACTCGTTTTGCCGATGGCATGAGGTACGGATTCGGTACAGAAGTCGGCATCAGCACGAACAAAATACACACCAGAGGCCCGGTTGGCCTGGAGGGACTGACTATTTATAAATATCTTATCAGGGGTGATGGGCATATAGCAGCCGACTATTCCGGGCGTCCAGGAAGCAGGAGATGGAAGCATCAGCCGCTGAAGATTACAGATGACAATTCTACTTAAAAATCACAGAATCGTCTACTTGTATTTTTGAGCAAAAGAAATGTTAAGAGTAAAAATAAGAAGCACAAATATTGATAGTTGCTTTTCCTCGATCCATGGTGTGCACTTCATAATCGTATTTGGAATTCCTATCATGCTATGCAGAGGGACAAGTTTTAAAATTCTGCAAAGCCTTACCGACACAAAAATCACATGGAAGCTTGTTGCAATATGTCGAAATAGGCTTATCAACCCATTCACATGAACGTAGCTGGATTGGCTCTATGAACGACACCTCATGGCATAGTTTTTAGACCTTGAAACCACGCGACCTTCTTCGTCCACGAGCCCGTTCGAACTTGCGTCCCTTGCTCTGCACATAAGGTTTCTGGGGTGTTGTCAGCAAACGACTGGACTAGACTTATTCATGATTTTAAAAAGAAAAGCTACCTTATGGCTGTGTGGGCCGAAGCCAAAGTGCTTCACGGCCTCTCGGGCATTCTTCGGTCCACGCAGTAACAGAGTATTCGCTCCTGTGGGAGCCCGCAGAGCAAGTTGATCCAAAGTCAAGACCTCACCACCAGCCTTCTCGATCCTGGCCCTGGCAGTGGCAGTAAAGCGGAGGGCAGCCACAGACAGCTTAGGGACGCTCAGAAGCCGATTGTCGTCCGTAACAGTTCCAACGACAACTACGGTCTTTCCCTTGTGTGCGTCGGTAACATTGGAGACGATGCGAGAAAGAGAGACCGGTGGGCGATTGACGCGCGACATGAAGAGTCGGCGAAGCACCACTTTGTTGAAGTTGGAATCCGTGCGGCCTATAGTCACAGTTACTAGCTGTTCAAGGAGCATTGGATATCCAGAAAAGCTGTTTCCAAAGTCCTCGGGAATTCATACGGGCTAGAAATCGGTAAAGCTTCACCAAGAGCTGCAGATAGACATTGTCGCTCTTGGGCGCCTTGCGATGTGTGCTGCGCACATGGTGACGATCCAAGTCGATACCTGCGTTACAATATGGTCAGCGAACTCAGCCTGCTTGCAAGCATCAGAGCGAGAAAATTGAAGAGCATTCATATATTATGCCATAATTGATCCGCTTACCCATGGCTTCTGAATGTGATGGGTTTTAACCTTGGAGTTGGTTAGCTGTCACACCGTACAGGAAAATGAGGTTTTTGGTCTGCAATTTTCAGATAAACGGTGTGTGTGGGTTGTGCCCTATACTAGTACTATTTAGGCTTACAGATGTGGATCCTCTGGACAACCTCATTAGGTAAGGACTAATTTTGGCTAAGCGGTCTGCCAGCCAATCAAGTGAAAAATCGTTGTCACCTCTACCTACTCCGCAAGGTACATCTTAGATACCTAGGTAATGTAGATACATTGTTGCTCACTGTCACCAATTGTTAGATAAGCATACTGCATATTAGTAATTACGGCAAGAATATAACAAGGCATATAGGCAGGAAGCCTGCTGGCAGAGGAGACTATGTAGTACGTAAGGCCTGGGGGCCAAAGGCCCTTGGCATAGACCAGGTACGTTCTCTTCAAACCAGTCAAGAGAAGCGGGATCTCCACGGCTTGTGGGATAACATGCCCCTGTCGATTACATGATACTTGTCGTTTGAAAGCCTGAATTCTCAAGAGCCTGGAAATTATAATGCCAATGCACTTTTTCGACGTCGATGTGCAATGACTTGCTTATCAAAGATTTTTGAACACGAAGACCTAAGGATCCTGATGTTCAAAGTCAAATCAGCATCTTGTCTCTATGAAAGTTAGACCTCTGGACGGCTTTTCTCCCCCTTGCCCTCTCTCTGATAGTCTAATATAGAAAAAATTATCAGGCATTGTAAAAGTCGACTTAATTGTTGGAGTAGGGCAAGGGTATCAAAGCCAGATAGTATTTCCAGTAAAAGACAAATTATTTGTCCCCGAGACTAAGGAAGAAGTCGCGAGTGACCTCAAAACTGAGCCAACTGCTGGCCATACTTGGTGCTACCTTTAGCAGGTTAGGAACAATACCCTTGTACAGGCCCCGTATACCTTCTTCAGCTACAATGATCTTGATAGCATCCCAGATGGATGTATAATGATAACCCATCCCTGTCATGGTATTTATTTGAAATCGTCGTCTCAAAACATCACTAATGATCATTAATATTATATGTCAAGAAGATATAGGGCGTATTGTGGGCACTTACAATGGGTACGTGCAAGTCTGTGCAACTGCTCCTGAGATGGCTCCAGCTAACAGCTTTCGAAAAGAGCTGGGATTCTTATCCCCTTCAGGTGTCAGGCACCTCCTCACAGATTCATAGACCATAAAATTGAGGCCCACCTAGGTAAGAAAATAGTTAGGAGCAGAAGCATACTTTTCCTATCACCCCATCCACTTACGTAGGGAGCAACCCCCGCCACGGTGGGAATGATACCACGATACAAGGCGAGAAAACCTCCTTCGTTTTTATACATCAGAACCATCGTTTGGAACATGCCTGGTAATTTTTCGCCGGGAGTCCTGTTGCCCAGGGCGGCAAAGGATGCAGACTGAATCGAAAGTCGTGTACGGACGATATCGAGAGGATAAGTGACGGTGACAGAGGTGATGCCTGCAATTCCTCCACAGATGAGGCGACTAATTGGACTTAATTCAGCGCCAGGAGACGGCTCTGCAAACTGGGGAACGATTAGCTCCGTATGGAACGCAGAGAACGCAAATCCCAAACAATATTGTTCAGATCTCAATAGTGAGAATCTGAACGGTTCTTGAGGAGAACTGGAATCAGCCGGAATAGTGTTGCTTACTTTCTTGTAGAAATTGTAGCTTCCAAACTGCACAGCGGAATAAGGAATGATACGGATACAATTTGTACCGTTCCCTCGCATGAAGCCTCTCCAGCCTTCCTCTCGGCCCATCTTCACCAGAGCCTTCCAAACTGATAGCCTATTATAATCATCTCTTCCGGCGCTTTGAATCTGAAGCAATATTTTCAAGCGCTCCAGGGGCGAGACAATTGTTCTGGAAACCGCACCAGCCACTCCTCCTGCAATGAATGCCGCAACGACCGGTTCAGACAGATTGTTTCTAGCTCGGTGGAAGAAGGAAGGTGGCACACGATTCTGATAAGCTTCTAAGTCAGAAATTAAAGTTACCGTTGACTAGAGGGGACGCTGCTAAGCTCATGGGAAATTGCAAAGACCATCTGCATTCTGTGTTGTTGCTTTACCTTTTCATGTTTAATAGAAGGCGAGGGCAGTCGCGCGAGACTTTGCAGCGCCTTCCTCTCCTCATTATCCGGCTGTTCATTTCGTGCAGTTTCTCGACGATCCAGGCTCATCGTGGAGACCGGAGCAGAATCAACAGTGTGACTTTGAATCAGTCATTCATGAACTCTGGTAAGGACCGAGTTTCGCTAGCTGCAAAAGTGGAACTTGGCTTTGTCAATGTCTTCGAGTCAATTTTGATGTAATCTTTAGAAGAAAAGATCCACCGGAACTTATTACAAGCAGTGAATAAGAAGGCTTGACGACAGCGTGGAATGAATTCTCATCGGCGTTATCCCCGTTGACACTGCGTTGGCCATGAAGAATGACTGCACACAGAACTATCACTACCACTCCCAAATAACCATTTTGTGAAAAGATTGCTGATTGCAAAATGTTGAAGTATGGTAGGGATTGTTAACCGAGGAGATGATGTTAGGTAGATTCCGCAACTTATATGACCATTCCGGTGGACCAGAAAATCGCGATCCTGTTCGGTTCCCCAATCCTGTAAAATCTCAATGAGAAAGCAGAAAACAGAAAAACATAAAGAAGACAGGTGGATGGAGAGGATAATAATTGAGGGGAAAATTGCGCCATGCAGATGGATGTATTGACCGGCATGCGTCGATCTTGGCTCCAAAACACTTTTATCCCCCTTTTGCTCGGACCTGACCGTGGGCCTTATACAGAATGGGAGTCGGGACAGCTCTCTGGGGCAGTGCTTGCACCAGTTGTGTGTGTTGGCCGTATTTAGCAGCAATTAGGACTACCTCACTGGTTAACCGAAACAACTATGGGGATGTGGCAATTACCCCTGTTTGTTCTGTTTGTCTCTCTGAATCTGTGGATCCCTTTGTCGTCTTTGGTCCCTGTGGATTTCCGAAGCCCTTTTCTCACTAGGAGCAGCAATAATGCTCTGCACTACATCTTTCTTTTGCATTCTCTCTCTACGTCTCTCTTCTCGCAGGCTGCCTATCTTGCGCAACCTCTGAAGTCTGATAGTGGCAGACTGGACTCCAATCCCCTGGTGACTTCTCATCGCTTACTAGTCCGCGATGTCTCGGTCCAGTGGAACAACTCTATACGTTACAGGCTTCGGCCACGGTACTCGAGCGCGCGATCTAGCCTACGAATTCGAACGGTATGTCCTGTCCGCCGATACTACGAGCTGCTCGAACCCCCACGAATTCATGTCCCGTTCACGTTTCCTTCGGCCTAATTTCTGGGTCTCAATACCGAAACCGTTTACCCATCCGTCCGAAGCTCCTCGCTTGCACGCCGGCCTTGACCTTTTGCCCGTACGGCAGTTTTGACCGCGTCGAACCCCTTCCTATCTGATTTCCTCTCATCCACCGCTAACTATTCATCCACTTTTGATGTTGCTCTTGTGTCCACTGATTCATTCCTCTCCAATCCGTTATTTTGGCATCTGATCTGACTCCCCCAGATACGGTCGCCTTGTTCGTTGTGACATTCCAGCTCCACGGACCCCATCGAGTCGCCTGTAAGTTTCACCTAAACCTACTAAGTTGTGTATGCATTATGGCATGCTCAGGAATTGCACAGTTTTGCCTTCGTCGAGTATGAGAGCCGCCGCGATGCCGACGATGCCTATCACGAGATGCACAACAAGCGCATCGGACGTGATGACTTACTGAAAGTTGAGGTGAGAACTTTGATAGCTCTATTTCCTCTTTCCGAGTCACTGACATCGTCGCAGTGGGCGCGTACCCCGCCGTCGGCATCTTGGCGGTTTGATTCTGGCCGTGATCGCCGTCGTGACCGTACCCCTCCTCGTCGTGGACGCTCGCCATCTCCTCGCCGCGGCCGTGGTGACTATTCGCCGCGCAGGGATGACCGGCGTGACAGAGACTATGATCGGCGCGACCGTGATCGAGACCGTGACCGTGACCGCGATCGCGACCGCGACCGCGACCGTGACCGTGAACGCGACCGTGAACGCGACCGTGACCGATCTCGAAGCCCTGATGATCGTGATAGGGATCTTAAGGAGGATCGTGATAGACATGATGACAGAGACAGGCGTGACGATGATCGTGAAAACGCCGCCAATGGCGATGACAGGAAAGGTCTGCTATCATATCCTTTCTTTGGAAATATTACTTGTTGACATTTGACAGTTCCCTTGGACCCACTCACTTCTGCTCATGATGAGCTTGATACTGCTGAGTAGGTCGCCTTGAGAATATTCGATGACTGTTTGGTAGGCAAGCAAGCTACTTCTCTGTCGTTATACCTCTCCGATGTTATCTCCCGCATCCCTCGGTCTCATTATTTAGGGTCATGGGCCAGGTTTGTGTCACCAAAGAACGCGGAAATTATGACATCTCTTTTACCAGCTGGCATCTTACCCTGATACTTCGGTATTTCATTTATCGTCAATCCCTCTGCGCTTCCTGTTCTTCCTCTGGTTTCCCTTTTTTTTAATTCAGTGCCCTGTCATGTTCCATGCTCTGCGACAAAGGTGCTCCATCTGTCTTCATCTTGATTTTATTAGCAGAGGTGGAGTCCATCTGGTCTACCGCCCGGTCTCGAAATCAGTACAGACGGAGCGATCGTGCACCTTTCGCTGAGTCTTGGCGTATTTGTCTAGTCACAAAATCAACTTCTTGCAGTTTAGGAAATTGAGAGTATCATTACTCCCTTCCTGGCCCGAGTAATCCTTGTTGTAAAGCTCTCGGAAGTTGATATGCTTCGGTGACCTCCTATCGCCAATTGTTATTGTCTTAGCTTCCGCGGCCTTGTGTAATTTGAAGGCTGAGAGGATATATTTAGATCAGCAGTGATGCTTCATTGATTGCTGCATCAGTACTAGGTAATACAATGAGACATATATAGGCTCCAGTGACCATTTTCATAGGGAAGTTGCACCACCTCTTTCACATGCCACGTGATCGGCAGCCTCTTCGGGTGCTCTGGGTATTCATCCATAGCATTGATATGGATGCATCTTGGTAAATGGTAGAAGGGGAACTGTTGCCTTTTTTTCTTTTTTTTTTAACAACATGAAACAGGTTGCAAGTCTTCAACTTCTTTCCTGAGAGACATGGGATGATATTTTTCTGGGGACTCTTTCTGAAGGGATCCTACTAACATTATTTGTTAAGAGTTTACTCCGTATGATATTTTCCCCTTGCCCCTTCAAGTTGTTTTCGGATTTACTCCGTACTACATGTAGATCTCAGTCAGATTTTTGTGGGAAGGGCTTTCTCAACAATGACACCGCTATCGACCGAAGCTGCGGTGATATATCTCAACTATGATGTGCAGGGCGCTGGTGCTGGACTTTCCTCTACTGAGGCTGTTGCATGCTCCTCATCCTCAGCGAAGGGAGGACTTATGATCTTTTCTTGATTCCACGAGACATGCTGTTGTAGACGGCAACTTGAGACCCAGCCGATTTAGCTAAGTCTATGTCGTCCGTTGGTATGGATAGCCTTTCTGACTTCGGACGGCGAAGCATTGCTGTCAAACTCGAGAAAACCGACGAAGCTGGAAGGTACTTACAGCGGACAAGCCTCTGTTATGCGATATTTTGCAACAAAGTATTGAGCGAGGAAAATCAAGGGTCATTAGGAAGAGGCGCTCCGAATTCAAGGATCTCGTATTCACAAGACAGTTTAACGCCTTCCACCGCCAGAATCCATCAAGTTCTTCTTCTCAATTTCATGGATTCTTCACTTTAGTTTGGCTTGGAGTTGGCTTGATGTTGTTCAAAATCGCAGAAAATAATTGGAAAATGTATAGTAGTGTTTGGCGAAGATACGAGATTCTACGTTTGATGCTTCACAAAGATGTCCTTGTGCTTGCCATCACAGATGGCATATTGTGTGAATCAACGATATTTTGCCTGTTTCTCCAGCGAGCAATCCGCGTGGGCTACTTGCAATGGAATAATTCTGGATGGATTATACAAACTGTATGTTTCCAACCACTTTTTATCACGCTTTGCTTCTCTGTATCTTTGCGTTTTTCTTTTGATGACATTTCTCTAGCTAACTCCAGTTTTTGAAGATCTGGCAGACTTTCTACCTTGGTGCCACTATATGGTGGACATACCATCGAGATTGGCCATGGACACACACTGTGTTCATCTTCATTGTTTAATAATGTTAAGGAAACAACTTAGGCTTCCTGTAATGGCCACTGTGGGTCTCTTGTATCAATCCCTTTACTGACTCTTTGAGATATCGACACTTAGCAGTTCTACAGTATCTGAGCTATATAGAAGGCGACAGGTTTTAGAAAAAAAAAACTTGAGCAACTTGATGGCCTTGATGAATGCTATTCCTCACCATCTACTTCTCATTTTGCAACTTCGTATTTTAACGCTCGTGATCTGAACAATCTTCATCACTGTCGCCAGTCCTTGCCAGAAACGAGCCCATGTGAACTTATTGACACTTCAAAGGAGATTAGCATTATTGCCGAAGCTATCGAGTCTGGGACAGCTCTAACAAATTCGGTCATTTGGCCGCCTCATCAGACGGGAGATTGATTCATTGACGAAAGAATCGGCAGGGCAACAATGCCTGGCGACGAATAATCACTATCCAAACATTCTTACGGTCACCGATTTCTACGGTTTTATCCCGCTTCCTACGTTAATCTATGAATAGAGTATCCCCGTTAGGAAACGATTAATTGGATGCATATCTCCAAAAAGACAGCAGCCATTTTTGGTGCAATCATTGTCATGATTGCTATTTCTCAGCCATGGATATATCCCGTCGTCATTTCGACGTTGCAAATGAAGACGGGATGACCTTTCACCAGTGATTGAAGGAGTCTCCGTGAGTGCTCAGCGACTTGATTTTCCCATTCATGATCGAGTATCTTTTATCATTCTATGTCATTTGGGAATGCATTGTAGGACTCCTACTGCCTGACCCTTTTGCCTTTACGTTGCCATGTTTTCTGCTTCTTGGTCATTACATGCTACTGACATGTCTGGAAAAGCTTAATGCTCTAGCTGAAATTACGAGATTTGTAGATAGGGGTTACTATGGTGACTGGTGGAACTCCGTCTCCTGGGATCAGTTTGCGCATAATTGCAATTGAACCGGCCCTTACATAGTTTACTGCTTCGCCATGTCTACCACAGCTCCATGAGTATCATTTCATTTCATCGATCGCGTCGTTCGGTCACCCTAGTTACATTCCTGTTATCAGCATGAGAACACGAGCTGATCATGCTCTGTATCTTAGATGCTTCTGATGCTGCAGCTCCCCCTGGTATACCTCAGGCGCACCTGGCTTACGAGGATGGAGGACACTAGGAAACGTCATTTTCTGGTTGGGAATTTTCATGGGTCCAAGTCTTCTGTGCATTCTATCTCATTGTATAGCCTGCGTTGTGTTGAAAGCATTTGGTCAAAGCTCTTCAGACAGATAGTCTGGATTATTATGACTGGTACTTTCTTGACGCTTTGATGACCATTGAACCTGTCTTAGTTAAGACAAGCCTTACAGGTCTCGCTCGATTAGCTTGGGATGCAAATTACGCAGTACATCCACCAGGGACATCTGGTCTCTATACGGGGTTTTTTTTTTAAATCTGCTTTCCTACATACAATATACTTTGGCAAAATCACTTGTCCTCTCTCACGCCCTATCCATTATTACTGTGTATCTTTGTTTTATGAAACGGGTGCTGACTCATCTTTTTGTTGCAGTAAAAACATTCGAGTTTTCCATAGCAATAATAGAAGCAGGGTACATTGATTGATTTGGAGAATTAAATGCAGACTACAGAGGAAGGGGTATACCCCGCTTCCCCACATCTCGTTGTCCCTAACAAGTGCTGGAGTTGATGCAAGATGCAATCTGTACATCATCAGAATTCTCGTCTGATGTTATCGTCAGAAAATTTCATTTTTTGAGCATTAATTAGTTAAATTTATCCCATTTATTTTCACATCAAGCCATGACATCACACATACCAGCCCAATGTTGTACCATTGGTGTCAAGCACGAAGGAGAAGCAAAAGGCGAGATTAAGAAAATCGGAGATGGTATGTATTTCTTATTTCCTAACACCGCTTTCAGTTCCCTTTGCATGCTAGATCTGCTATCTTCTGTAAATGTGGTTTCTCTGCATGTTGCCCTACTCGTTTTTTCTTCGCCCCCCCCCC